GCAGACCATGTGTAAACATCAACACAATGACATAACTGATGGTACTGGAAATGTTCAGGCAGAAGACAAACACATTCACATAAACAATAATCACGGGTAGCATTGGGGGAAAAAAACAAACACAGACAGAGAAAGTAAAGCAGTCAGACCTATCTATCACACATTGCCTTCCAAACACCACCCATGACTACAAGAACAAGGGACAGCAGAAAGCAGTATAGACAATTAAAGTCAGCATTCAGCCTTCAACTTCGACCTTTCACCTGTTTGTCAGAAACTTGCAAACACACCAAAAACAAACTGACATAGACAGCTGACACAGACACTTAGTAACTTAGAGCTTCCAAGATACAAAAAAAAAGAAGAAAAATGGTGCTGCAGCATTAGTGGAAACAAATGAAAATTGCGTGAGCAGAAGAGAAGTGGGGGCCAACTGACTAGTAAAAACAAGAGGAAATAAAACAAAGACAGTTTGTTGAAAGAATATGACTATGACCGGCCCCACACCAGCTAGGCTAACTTGATCATGCAGAGACACATATTGGCAACATGTAGAAAACAACCAAGAAATCATTTTTTAAAAATTGAATCAATATATTCTTTAAAAAATCATTGGTTTGGTTTTATCCTTTAAAAACAAACAAACACTTGGGCCAGCAAAATGAGAATCTCACTATGGCAGCATTCACCAGTAGTAGTAGGCTACAGCCGATGGCTCTCAGGTCGTGAGGAGTATTTCACCACATGTGTGCAACCCTAGTAGACATGACAGACCTGCAGATGTCCAGTTTTCTGTTATACTGAGAAGCTCTCAAAATGAAGGACATAAAGCTAGCTGGAGAAGAATACTTGGAAATGAAATTGTTACCGGTAAAATATTATGTATCTGGAGCAATTAATTATTTTAGACACACCAGAAACATTAAAATTTAAGCTGAAAGTCAAAAATACTTCAAGTTCAAGATCTTGTCTGGTTCAGTTGAAATTGAAAACACCTGCAACAAAAGGTGAGTCTAATATTAACTTATTAAGAATAACTAAAGAGCTATACGCAAAGCAAAATAGGAAGATCTGTTTAATGAACAATAATACTGCAGCAATGGTAGGCCTATTTCTGCACATTTGTTGAGCATTGAGATCTAACACTATTAGTTAATAGAACACAAAAAAGATACTGAAAAAAGAAATTGTTACAGTTCAGGAGTCTGATTAAAAATACACCTATATTATATATATACCTAGTACCAATGATCTTTTGTTAGTTCAAATGTGATTTTTTAAAATTAATGAATAAAGATCTCTTCTCAAATATGAAAGACACACTCTCGTTGTACTGAATAAGGAACGACTCCAACCTGAAAAACAAACTCAAAACTATGTGGTCAGTGACAGTGATAGATACATGTAGTGATAGACACAAAATTGTGAGAGTGAGAGGCCAGACCAATTCAACAAAAACAATGCTCCCGCTAATCAATGCCTACAGCAAGCATGTCAGAACCCACCAGAGGAAACAAAATTTTGAAGTTCAACTTTCTCGGGAAAATGTTTTAAAACTTTGAACACGAGACTTCCATTTCGATAGATGATCAAGATCAGATTTTAATGAGGGTTTAAACAAAAAAGATGGAAATTGTGCGCGTAAGCCACACCCAAGGGAAACAACTTAATAAATGTTCCAGCTTTACAGTAAATTTCAGGGTTGTTTCCCTTGTCCACATTTACGTACCTTTTCATTTTCACTGATTTTCAGTCGTTGAGCAGAACGGACTGTAAAGACAGATCCAGATCTAGTAGTAGAGATCATTAAGAATAGGCAGAAATGTTATGCCTGTTCGACACTTTACGGCAAATGAAAAAAATTGAAACTAGGAAAGAAAAAGAATTGAGCTGTGTTGTTTTTACCTTTGTTTTTTAGGATACTGAACAGTAGTAGGGGGTCACCAAAAAGTAAAAGTACTGTTGATTCAGTCTGTCTTGGTACAAGTACAAGCTTAGTCTTCACCATAAAATTTATATCTGTTGCCCATTGAAGGATCGGTTCGGTTTCAGGCCACTTCAGTTAACTACATGATATTGATATTAATAAACCAAATCCCCAAACTTATCACTATCACCCGACGCATGGCCTTGAAATCAAATGCATCTACTTGAATTTGATATTATATTGGTGGTCATCAATGGTTTTGTCCCTCTCATGTGGAGGGCAATTCAGCTAGCCCCAACCCGAACCGAACATGATGACAATGGGTACCGTCTATTATCTTTTCAAGACAACAAAAGCATTAAAAAATATTTTAATTTAAAAAAATAGGCCTACTTTACTACTACTACCGGTAGGCCTACTTGATTTTAAATCATAGCTCTGAATTGTTCAATATACCGTACATGACAGAAGTCTTATTACAATTAAAACAATTAAATTTTTTTTGGCACAATTAATACAATTATGAACACTGAAGAATAGAAGAGAATACGATTTGGTATTTTTTTACTTTCCCTCCCGTCTCACACTCAGCTACCAGTTGTCAATTTTCTACTAAATATTGATGCGCTGAACACGAATATCAACTTCATTTCCGTCGCAAATTAATGGTTTTTGAAATATTTGATTGTTTTTAACCGAGATAGACATGCTTTGGACCAATCGGGGGGTTCCAGGGGGGCCTGCCCCACTGGGGTAAAAGAAAATCTGGGGGGTTACAGGGGGGCATGCCCCCCTGTTTTTACACCCATAATTTGATATTTTACTGTTAGATTTGAAATTGTCTTGAAAATAATTGATTTGCGACAGTTTTAGTGGCTTTATGTGTGATCTGCAGCAAACAGTACAGCGGTTTGACCCCTGAAACAGTGCATCTGTGTGCGGGAGTGAAAGTAAAAATTTACCTACGATTTTAATTCAGTCTGGTTGATTCACTACAATTCATGTATTATTTTTGCTGACGCTTTTATATCAATAAAAATAATAAATGTTTAATATGCGGGAATAACAAGCAAAGAATGTGTCAATGAGCTAGGTCACTGTGACCTGTCAGTCCTACAGAAAAGGACAGCGAGATTATAAGAGTCATTGTACTGATTTTCACTGCATGAGCACCACTCCTTTTAATAAAGGCAGAAAATGATCTCAGAAGAAGGAAGCAATTCATTTTTTACATCAGGTTAAAATGTGTATGCATAATATATGAAAGCCCTGAGAATTCTAGAATTTAACTCTTTGGAAATACTTAGTGTAGCAACAGAGAATTTATCATAAACTATATTGGTCCATCCCCGTCAACTTTAACTTAACCCTATCTGTACGTCCTGGGGTTGTATTCTTCACATTTTAGAATACTTGTGCAAAGATCTCTGAAATATTCAGTATTTAAAACAATTTTTTTTTGATAGACTGCTCTATGCAAAGCGTACGGATCGGATTAACGTGTAAATTTCCTCTTTGGAAAGTGGTGGCACAGAGTTCCCCACATCGTATGGATACGATAGTAAAACATGACATATACGGATAGGGTTAAAAGACAATCAACTATTTGTTTGGAACAGTCTCCCATTCCAATAGAATAAAATGTCATGTTGCAGTTTTACCATTTTGTTTCGTTAAGTTGACAGAGACATGACATTCTCTGGTCTGTTCTGCTAGTGAAAACTGAAAAAAAGGAGACTTACCCAAAACAAGTATTCACGTGAAAAGACTGGCTTTCAGTCATATTTTATGTTCCTGTATGAGATTTTAAAATGTTACAAAAATCATATATTATAAGAGTAAATTAACACCAGCTTCACTGTTTGCGTCTGTTGAAATGCAGCCAGCAAATATTTAGAATTGACATCTTTTCTGAAAAAAAACAAAATAACATACACCTAGTTTCATTGTCCATTCTGAAAAAGAATTTTATACAATATAATACAGATAGGTCGAACACAGAAGATTCAAGATCACGCATCCATCGAACTGTGGCTGCAGTTCCGTTTTTTTCTTTCTTCTTTTTTATCTTTGAAAGATATCCCTCCAACTACAGATCCCTCGAACAGCCAAGGTCGGTCTTGACGAATTCGAGCTATCTTTGTTATACTGTATAGTGAATTAATTAAAAATACTGAAATGGCTTCAGGCTCAGGACATGCCTTGATAGATCTGTGAAAGAAAGCACATGCAATTTATCAATAATCAAGAATTAAAGAAAACGAGGCGAGTTTCACAACAGGCTCCATGTTCCACAAATTGAAAGAAAAGAGCAAGAGAGGAAAGAGGATAGAATGGTCAAGCTCAAATACTAAAATTTTTCCTTCATAGCTGTACTGTACCTATGGTCAACAATGCAGACAGCGACTTTATTTCTACCAGTCGACTTTTTAGGATCGAAAGGAATTTTAAAAATTTTATATAAAAAGAAAAGAAGTCAAAAACTCTGCAGACTTTTTGGTCAGTTGTCCTACGTGCATAAGCCACAAAGCCCATGGGCAGCACTGATAGATTTATAGACTTGAACCCAAAGTTCAAATAATTTGACTGTCCCTCTCTAAACACACCCACCAAGGCAGAAGTTCAGCTGATGAGCTGTCAACTGCATTTCTCACTGTTGTCTTGCTTTCACTTTCTCTGACAATTCCATGTCATGTCATGTTGAAACCAAGTTCAGTTAATTTAAACAAAAGAACAACAAAAAATTCAGCTCATTTGAGTGAAGATAATGAAATATTTCAATCGTTACATCTAAATTTCTACAGGCTTTGAATTAAATGTGACCATGTCCAGGCAGGAGATCACATGGTGCAAAAAAAAGTTGACCACCTACAGGTAACAACGTTCTAAATTTAGAACCATGCCTGCTGTATCCGGTCAGAGGTCAAAGGCAACCGCCGGTAAATATGACATCATTTGACCTACATATTTGCACAGCATATAAAATACAAACTAACAGAGTCGTATCACGAGCCCGATAAAAGTGGGCAAATAATAAAAATTTAGAAGCAGCACTTTTCATTTTGATTCCTACCTTTACAATGCAAAAACTGGTCAATGGAAATGTCTGGGATGCGTGCAAATATGTAGGTCATCACTCGCAACTCGCACTCTCACAATAATGACATCGACTGCTTTCGAAGATCGATTTCTTGCCAAGACGAGTTTACTGCCGGCTGGCTAGTAAAAACACCAAAAAATCTGTGGAAAGTACATATTAGGGCAGTCCCCATATTAGGTTAAAGAAATGAGAAAGAAGACAACTACGTAGACAGTAGTTGACGTTCTGTTCTGGATCTGACACTCCTCTCCTCTCGCCTGATCTCTCTCTCTGCGCCCTCTTCGGATTGTAGGGTTGACGACGCCATTGCTGTTGTCAGTCTTGCTTATTCCGAGTCATTTTCGCCGAACAGTTCTATTTACATGAGTTATCTACATAGCACATTAGTTCATTTATCAATGTGACAGTAAAGAACAAGGCATGAACATGAAAAGTCACAAATACCCCAACCACTTTAAGTCAACTGTTGTAACAGGCATGTGGCCATCTGCTCTGGTAGAATTACTGTTGTTCCAACCCACCACACTTACAACCTAGACTAGGCCTATTGTTGTTCTGCCCTGTTTTGATTGATTTCAACCCACTACAATCCCTTTATTAAACTGATTGTGTACCTTAGTAATCTAAACAACTTTCAGCAATATCCTTGGCTATCAAAAACTATGTAAACGTATTTTTAAGCCCCTTAGGAATGATCCGGACGGGTCTCTAGTCTACCGTTCTACAGGAGGAAAAATGAAGTGCAGGATAAGGGCTACGGGGCTGCACTCCAAAGTTTTCAGCACGGGGTCCCAAGGTCATGACGTATGGTTCTATTTCCGTTCCGAAAGAACGCGCCTACTTTTCCAGAATAAACGTCAAAAGATTTTTAGAATTTTTGTTCAATTGTCCCACAAGACCAGGTCGTACGTTTATGAAAAATATGCAGATCAAAGACAACATTAATTCAATATTATCAGTTACATTTCCCAACAATTGTTTCCTGGACAAAAGGAAAACAATGTTTGCCCGCTGCGTTACGCTAAATGACTAAATGCGGAAATCGAAAGGAAATGTAGATCTAGAATCTAGATCAGAGAGTTTACACTGATCTAGATCTAGATCAAGTCTACTTTTTGCAAAGTTTTTGTGTCTTTTAGTGATATTTTTAAGTTCAATTGTTGAGACAGAAATTGAAGATCCATCATCAAGACAATCCGACAAAAAGCTGTGACAATACATAGGCCAAGGAGATTAAAAGTAGAGTTTTAATACATGTACTCACTTCTAAGCTCCAATTGATGTAGGCCCACAGAATTCTACACTTGGTGTAGAATTCTGTGTGTAGGCCTAATCGGAGACCCTGCCGTGCGCCCTTCCAGTCACGCAAGCGTGTAGGCCTAGCGTAACGACCTAACTTTGCGCGAATTTAGCAAACACGTATACGTAACACGTCAAATTATTCTGGGAATTTTAGAGTTAGATCTATATAATGTAGATTTGTTTGTTACCAAGTTTCAAGTTAAATTACTAGATGTATAGTGCCTACAGAGGGCCCTTATTTGCGTTGTGGAAAACACGCAGAACAGCGTTTGAGTTATTTAGAACACGTGCATGTACTTTTGCGGTTGCAGATTGCAATCTAGGTCTCTTTTATATAATATAACAATTTATTTTTTCTTCTTTTCATCCATATATAGATATTAAAAGTCATCATCAGATCGTGATATATGTACATAGACAATTATTATTATATTTATCAAACAAGCACACTATTATATAGAGCCATATATTAGATTCTATGTCATTCCAGGGCTGATTTAACAATTGGGACGGTAGCAGTAGCAGGGTGCAGGTATAATTAATTTAGTTCATGTATCCTAAGCTTTACCTCGTTTAATTTTATGATTAAAATACATTCTTAGAAGTGATCAAATTTCCGACTCGGTGTGTTGTAATAATTGGGAAGTTGCTTTTGCTCTTCACATTTTCTCTCTGGCTGCAAACACTGTTTCTGACATAAATGAAGTTGAACAGGTTCGATATCATACTTCAAGAAAAAGAGAGAAAAACAAAAAAGGTTATTTAATACTATTATTGGATTCACGAGGATCGTGTTGTGCTGAAATCTCTGGGACAGACTCCGGGCATGCCAAGACAAAACAAGCCGCTATGATAACAAATATCTACAAAAATAACGGATCAATCAACTCGGCCATGGGCGGCTAGTAGGCTATACGTTCTTATACTATCTGACCGTCTAGGCAGTTTATAGACCTACTCGAATAGCCTAGGTGTAGGTAGGCCCTACCACCGTTCTTTAAAGTTCTTTTTTTAGTAGAGGGACTCAATGATCGCCTGGCGCAAATAAGTCACAGCCATGAGTCGGGCTATACATATATACTCTTGACTGAACTGATTGGAAAGCCCCCCCCCCC